TTTGGAGTTTCAAGTTCATTAAGTTTGAATTAGAGGGTGATTCATGATTTTAGCATTGTAAGATGTGGTTTGAGGGCTCGACTAAGTTCGTATGGTGTTGTAGGATTTGGTTGGTATGTTGGTCGAGGTCCCGGGGGCCTCGGGTGAGTTTCGGATGGTTAACGGATCAAATTCGGACTTAGAAGAAATCTGAAGTTTCTGCCTTCTAGTGCAATCACACCTGTGGAACTTGGCTCGCAGGCGCCACCACACAGAAGCACAATGGACATCGCAAATGCGCAAGGTCTGCAGAAGCGGAAGGGATTTTCGCAGGCGCGCACGCGCAGGTGCGAGCCCATGCCCCGCTGGTGCGGAAATGCCTGGGCAGTGTTCAAAACCGAAGGGCTTCATGATTTTTGTCATTTTGGACTTTGCAAACTCGGTTTAGGGCGATTTTTGAGAGCATTTTCGAGGGATTTTCAGAGGAACTTTGGGGTAATTATTCCTAACTTGTTTTTTGTTGTATTCCATTAATCTATAGTTGTTTTCTCCATTTAATTTCGGATTTTGGGGGTTAAAATTGGGAAACATTGGAAGAACTTCTTCAACAACGATTTCAAGTAATTCTTATATGGTTGGACTTATGAGTGAATGAGTGTTCGTATTTTGTAATTTTTACCTGATTCCGAGACGTGGGCCCGGGTCGACTTTTTAGGATGGATTTCGGAATTTTTACTAAAATCTTGATTTCATTAATTTTATTAGCCTAATATAGTTGTATTTATGATATGAAATTATTTTGGCTAGATTTAGGCCATTCGGAGTCAGATGTTCGTGGGAAAGGCATTGTGATCGATTAATTGAGCTTGGTTCGAGGTAAGTATCTTGCCTAACCTTGTGTGGGGGATTTCCCCTTAGGATTTGAGTCTTCTATGTTGATTGTAGTCCATGTACGCGAGGTGACGAGTACGTGCTCGGACTTATTTGTGGAAAGTTGGTCTTTTAGGGTTCTTAGGTCCTTATATTCACCGAGTATGAAGTGTTCTTGATATGATTAAGTTCCTATTTACTATTTTCACCTCTACATGCTTTAATTAGAATTAATTGCTTTTAGGATTTCACTCTTATTGCCTATTTGACTCTTATTTGACTTAACTGAAGATTTTACCCAATCTATTGTCATGCTATCTTTTCATACTGCTTATCTTTATTTGGAATTATTATTATTTGATCCTATAATTTGTTCAGTCTTAATTGAGGTTATTATTATCTTTCCGCTACTTATCCTTAATTGAATTGTTAAATATCCTTCAAAATTCCTCAACCTTAAAAGAAGTTTTAGATATCCTATATCTTAGTCGACTTGTTTTATTTGGAAATTATTTGACTCGTGTTAGATTCCATGTTGTTGAAATGTATATTGTGGGATCGTTGCTGCATATTAGCTTTCCTTTGTTGAGCTATTCTCTTTATGCCTGACATCCTTTACTGTGGTTATTCCTTGTGAATTGGTTCTACCGCTTGTTTGTGAATTAAAGTTCTTGAGTTGATTTACTTGTCGTACTTTGTATTATTGTCATTGTTGTTGTTGTACTTGTTGTGGTGATGCACGAGGTTTCTGCCCTACGGTTGTTGTTATTGTGATGCACTAGGTTTATGCCGTGTGGTTGTTATTATTGTGATGCATGAGGTTTCTGCCATGCGGTTGTTATTATGGGGTTGCATGAGGTTTCTGCCNCGAGGTTCGGTACCTCGTGGAGTTGTTGACTAAAACCTGATGTAAAAGCGGTTGTAGTTGCTGAATTATTACTTATCCTTGTTGTATTTGTGATTCCAGATTTAGGTTGTGTTTCATTCATTTTTCTGTGTCATTTTCATGATATTTCGCTGACACTTGTTATTTCCTTCCTCATTGACATTACTGTACTGTGAGCCATATTGCATAGTCTTTATATAGACATCATACTTCTGCTGCTCATATACTTGCACCTGTTTAGTTTATTAGACCAGTGGGTGTCTTGACTGTTCCTCGTCACTACTTCACCTAGGTTAGTCTTGATACTTACTGGGCACCATTGTGGTGTGCTCATGCTACTCTTCTACACATTTTTGTTCAGATCCAGGTATTTGTTTATTAGCTAGCTGTGTGGACTGTTGCTGCAGAGACTCAAGATAAACCTGCCGCTGCGTTCGCAAGCTTCAGAGTCACCTTCAAGTTTTCATTTTACACTGTTTATTCCTATTTCTGGATAGTTGTATTTAGAGGCTTTCTAGCAAAAACAAACTCTGTAGAGTTTATGACTTGTACTACTGATTTTGGGAATTGTAAGAGATTCTATTTAAATAATGTTGTTGTTTTAATTATTGTTAGCCTTACCTAGTCCATAAAACTAGGTGCCATCAAGATACCCAAACGGAGGGAAAATTGGGTCGTGACACCTCGGGTGTGTTTCGGATGGGCCTCGGGCCAATTTCTTCTATATTTGGATTGCTGGTTTCTGGTGTCTGGTGCTCTCTTTCGCGATCGCGTAGTTCCAGTCACAATCGCGTAGTGTTCTGTTGATCTGCCCCATTTTTCTTCATCGTGTTTGCATAGTACCTCATGCGATCGCGAAGGTCTACTTCGCGTTCGCATATGTTCCCTCGCGTCTGCGTAGTAGAAATTAGGAGCTGGGGGTTGTTGGCTATTTCTTCTTCGCGTTCGCGTAAGCTCCTGCCCATTGTTCATCGCGTTCGCGTCCCTTCACTCGCAATCGCGAAGGGTCTTTCTTGGCAGCCTCAATTCTCTTCTTCGCGATCGCGACCCAATCTCCGCGATCGCGATGCATAGTCATCTGGGCAGAATATAAGTTTTCCAAATCGAGGGTTAGGCCATTTTCACCATATTTTGACTTGTAGAGCTCGGTTTTGAGTGATTCTTGGTGGGTTTTTCAAGCAATTCGATTGGGTAAGTGTTCTTCACCTAGTATTTAATATATTCCATGATTTTATCTTCATATTTATCATTTAATTTGTGTTTTGAGTTGAGGAAAAGAGTGATTTTTGAAGAAAATTTTCAAAATGAAAAATCACGATTTGAGGGACGAAATGGTATCAGAATTTAGTGATTTTAGTATGGTTAGACTCGTGAGTGAATGGGTGTTCGTATTTCGTAACTTTTGCCGGATTTAGAGACGTGGGCCCCGCAGACGATTTTTAGTATTTTCTTATGGAATTGATTATATAAATTTTGTTGACTGTATCAAATTAATAAGGATTTCGGATGCCAATTCTCATTGCTAGGGCACAACAGAGTAAATAATTTCACGGTTAGAGGTAAGTATCTTGCCTAACCTCGAGTGGGAGAATTTTTCCTTACGCATTGAGTCTTGTGTGCAATTTGTAAATTGAAAACCATGTACGCGAGGTGATGAGTACGTACTTGGTATATATGTGCAAATTTCATTGATTAAAAATCCTTAGACGCCCTTATGTATTAAATTGAAAATTATTGGCACTTATTAAATCCTTTATTTGTCAGTGGTGGCAGGCGTATGAGTTGGGTAGCCCGGCCGATGCAGCTTCACTTTCATGGGCTCAGTTTTCGGAGATGTTCCTGAGAGAGTTTGTTCCTCAGTCCCTTCGTGACGCATGGCACGCAAAGTTTGAGTAGGTGCGCCAGGGAACTATGTCAGTGTTAGAGTATGCTGTTAGATTCTGTGATTTGGCCAGACATGCACCTGCTTTGGTCGCTACAGTTAGAGAGCGGGTCCGTAGATTCATTGAGGGGCTAAGATGTGATATCTGGTTCAGCATGGCTCGGGAGTTGGAGTCAGATGTTCCATTTCAGCAGGTGGTGGGGATCGCCCGCCGATGTGAGGGCATATGGGACCAGGAGAGAGAGCATTGGCGGGGCCATGAGAGAGAGGGCAGACGGGGTCAAGAGAGAGAGGACAGGAAGTCTAGGAGGCCTCATAGACCGAAGAGATATACTGGTCCATATTTTGGAGGCAGGGTACAGCATGGTAGAGGTTTTGTGGGTCACCCAGTTCAGTTTGCAGTTCAGGCTTCGCACGGTGTCCCAAGTATCCATGGGTCTCAGATTACCCGTACCGCACAGTTTCCACAACCACATCAGCAGAGAGGTTGCTTCAAGTGTGGAGATACCAGCCACAGGGTGAGAGATTGTCCCAGACTCCTGACAAATGTATCACAGCGGGGCATTCGAGCGAGTAGAGGGCGCCCAAGAGGGGGAGACCCGGCCCGTTGATATAATTGCTATGAATTGGTTGAGGCCGCTATACCAAATGGTGTCGTTACAGGTACGATCCTGATTTGTTAGAAAAGGATAATTCTCCTTAATTTGATTCGGTTCTGGATATCGAGGCGAGTCCTCCTATTATGCTCCACTTATGGGTGAGCTTCGTAATTTTGTGAACCACTTATGTATTTATCCCCGCTGGGAGATTTTATGGTGTTAGCCCGCATGTATCAATTTTGTTTTGCACATTATAGTTGGGTATGAGTCTAAAAGTGACTTTTATTACTCCCTACAGTGGGTTTTGATGTGATTTCGGAATAATTGATTCTAATTTTATGAATTATATACCCTACCGAAATGAGGGTTCATTATGCGTTGTGAAAACTATTTACGAAATATATTGAAAAGAAGAAAGAAAGGAAATTGAACATTTCAGTTGGCACAATGTGCAAAATATTTGTGATTCGGAGCTGAGGACGAGATCCTCGCTATGATGTGAAATATTTAAACCGGACTACAAGCCGCAATGGAAGTTATATAAGGACGAGGTCCTTGTGGTTAAATATTTATGGGTTTTTTTTTTTTTTTCAAAATAAAAGTGCTCCGACATTATAGAATCTCCAAACAGAATCGTTCTGAAGATTAGTTCATGCCACACGGCTGCCATATTCAACTTCCCTTAGCTATTGTTTACTGGGATGAGGAAACATTAGAAACTGACAAACAAAAAGAGTAGCAATACAGTTCAATCAAGAAAGGCAAATGTAATGATGACTTGTAACTAAACTATCCTCCTCTTTTTCAAGAAGTTCTTTCGTAACAGCTTCTTATCAGCAACTTTATAATGGAATTCTGCTCCAAGCATCTCATATACACCGTATCCCAAAGACAATCTCAAGTCAACTGTCTCCTTTACATCCTCTACAGAAACCATGAAGCCAAAAGCAGAGAATACCCTAATGGCATTTGCTATCCTGCATATATATTGTCTTTTTTCCAGTGGTGTAGAAGTTTTTTTTTTACCAGAATTCAGTAAGCTTCCTGAATGAGTGTTCTGTGGATAAGACTCATTCACTTGATCCTCTACCTCATGCTCCCCAATCCAAATAAATCCATTGCAGCCAAGTATCAAGTCAACTCCATACTCGTCTAGATGGTGAAAATGCTTTTTACCCCTCATCACTAGATATCGAGGAATTTTGAGTAGTTGCCCTCTTTCAAGCTTTACATACTCTTTGGCTCTACTGAGGGATGTATGGCCACCATGCTGGATATTTTCCACTATAGCACAGATAACAGCATTCTCCAAAATTGCAGTTGGGTTTCTCTGCCGATACCATGAACTAAGGTTTAGTACACCGTCTACGCTGGAATTAATGTCCACTCTATGAAGTTTAAATTCTCCCTTTGTGAAGTTTAATTTGTACTATAGTACTAATATGGAGTTATGCCTGATAGGCTTATGTGATAATTCTTTTATGTGTTTCTGTGCCATAATTGTGCTGTAATTATTGAGTTTTAGCCTACGAGGTGAGTTCCCAGGTGGCATTAAATGTGACTCGTTAGGTCGGGTAAATAGTTATGAGGTCTTCATGCCTCACATTCTGTTGTCAGTATTGTGAAAATTCGAAACGAGTTGTTGGTTAATATGAGATTAATTGATGATGCTAGAATTAATTGTGAACAGTTTTTAAGACCAGAGATGTGGTGATGGGCATACGTATGATGTGTTTCATATCCTGATATCATTATGATAATGCAGTGCTTGTAATGCTAAGATTAGTGTTATTGATATATACATTGTGGTGCTTTGTTGGGTTATGGATGTGTTGTTAGGAGTTGTTTTGGTGTTACTCTGGCAGGTGGATAGGCCCATTTACAGGGGAGACTCTGCCGAAATTTCTGAAAAATTTGGAAGTTAGTAAAATTTGGGGGATTGAAACGCGCGAAAGAAGAGATAAGTTATGTTATGTGTTTGAGGGCGGACTCTACTTCTCATTCAAGGGCGAATGATCCTAAGCGGAGGAGAATGTAACACCCCGAAAAAATTTCGAAGTACTTCAACACTAGCAAGAAAGTTGATGTGTGCGTAGGCACGAGTTGCTATAGTCAGTTGAAACTAATACAGTGCGTTGATGTGAAAATCAAGCCTTTTGAAAATGTTTAGGGTGTAAGAAATTGGTTTTAAAGCTTACCAGTGAATAAAAAAAATAATCTCCACTGCGATGATGTTGTCGAACCCCTGTTAAATTTTTGGTGACGTAGAATCACCCGTGAGTATGTGTGAAATAATGCACTCGGTAATTTAATGTCATCAGAATAATTCTTGGCATGTTCGAGGATGAACGTATGTTTAAGAGGGGGAGAATGTAATGACCCGACTTGTCGTTTTAAGAATTTAAGTCTCGTTCGGCAGCATAAGGCCCTAAGCAGCTTCATATTATGTGTATTGACTTACGTGCGTAGTTGAATTCAGTTACTGGATGATTCGGAGTGATTTGGGAAACTTGGTCCCTAAAACCGAAGCTTAAGTCTTAAGATTTTGACCGTAGTCGGAACTATGTGAAGACGACTCGGGAATGGAGTTCCGTCGGTTCCGTTAGCTCCGTTGGGTGATTTTGGACTTAGGAGCATGTCCGGACTGTGAATCTGAGGTCTGTAGCTGATTTAGGCTTAAAATGGCAAAAGTCGAATTTTTGGAGATTTGGACAGGAAGTGGACTTTTTGATATCGGGGTCGGAATGTGATTCTGAGAGTTGGAACAGCTCTGTTATGTTATTTGAGACTTGCCTGCAAAATTTGACGTCATTCCGGGTTGGTTTGATAGGTTCCGGCACGTGTTTTCGAGATTGGAAGATTTGAAAGTTCTTAAGTTTGATTCATGGTGCGATTCGTATTTTCGGCATTGTTCGATGTGATTGAAGACCTCGAGCGAGTCCATGGTAGGTTATGGAACTTGTTTGTGTGTTTAGACGAGGTCCCGGGGGCCTCGGGTGTGTTTCGAATGGGCCTCGGGCCAATTTCTTCTATTTTTGGATTGCTGGTTTCTGGTGTCTGGTGCTCTCTTTCACGATCGCGTAGCTCCAGTCGCGATCGCGTAGTGTTCTGTTAATCTGCCCCATTTTTCTTCATCGTGTTCGCATAGTACCTCACGCGATCGTGAAGGTATGCTTTCTTCTACTTCGCATTCGCATCTATTCCCTCGCGTCCGCGTAGTAGATATTAGGAGCTGGGGGCTGTTGGCTATTTCTTCTTCGCGTTCGCATCATTTGCCATGCGTTCGCGCAAGCTCTGTCCATTGTTCATCGCGTTAGCGTCCCTTCACTCGCGATCGCGAAGGTTCTTTCTTGGCAGCCTCAGTTCTCTTCTCCGCGATCGCGACTCAATCTCCGGGATCGTGATGCATAGTCATCTGGGCAGAATATAAGTTTTTCAAATCGAGGGTTAGGCCATTTTCATCATATTTTGACTTGTAGAGCTCGGTTTTGAGTAATTCTTGGTGGGTTTTTCAAGCAGTTCGATTGGGTAAGTGTTCTTCACCTAGTATTTAATATATTCCATGATTTTATCTTCATTTTTATCATTTAATTTGTGTTTTGAGTTGAGAAAAATAGTGATTTTTGAAGAAAAGTTTCAAAGTAATAAATCATGATTTGAGGGACGAAATAGTATCAGAATTTAGTGATTTTAGTATGGTTAAACTCGTGAGTGAATGGGTGTTCGTATTTCGTAACTTTTGCTGGATTTTGAGACGTGGGCCCCGCAAGCGATTTTTGGGTTCATTTTGGATTTTTATTAAAAAATGTAGTATTTTCTTATGGAATTGATTATATAAATTTTGTTGACTGTATCGAATTAATTGTGACTAGATACAAGGATTTCGGAGGCCAATTCGCGTTGCAAGGGCACAACAGAGTAAATAATTTCACGGTTAAAGGTAAGTATCTTGCCTAACCTCGAGCGGGAGAATTTTCCCTTAGGCATTGAGTCTTGTGTGCAATTTGTGTAATTGAAAATCATGTACGCGAGGTGACGAGTACGTGCTTGGTATATATGTGCAAATTTCATGAATTAAAAATCCTTAGACGCCCTTATGTATTAAATTAAAAATTATTGGCACTTATTAAATCCTC